GAGAATTAACCGTTTTAATGCGGATATGGGAATTGCGGTTTCAATGTGCCTCACTGTTAGTTCTTTGCAAATAAATTCTACCGTTTCCAGTAGTGGAATGTTCGTGAATAGGGATGAAACATCCAGTGATATCATGAAATTATTCTTGACCGATAGATGTTTTATATTGTCAACAAATTCGAAAGAATCCTTGACACTATGTTTGACAATTTCTTTGTGTAATGGTTTGAGAATTTGTACCAACCATTTTGCTATAGTGTGATACGCTGAGTTATTCATATCTAAAACTGGTCGAAGGGGTAGGCCGCTTTTGTGTATTTTTGGTAGGCCATATAGCCTTGGTGTAATCGTTCCTGTAGGTTTTAAAATTTCGAACTCTTTTTCTGAAATAAATCCTTGTTGTTTAATTTCTTTCAGTGAATCTGTTAGTTGTTTTTCAATCTTGTCTACTATGTCGTTCTTCCCAACCAGTTTCTGAAATTTGCTTTTATCATTTAAAAGGGCTTTCATTTTGTTTATATAGTTATTTTTATCCATGAGTACTATCCCATGTCCTTTGTCCGGTTTCGTGATTAATAAATTATCATTAGTTTTAAGTTTTCTTAAAGCTTCTAAATGTTTTTTCGTCAAAATTCCTTTCATATTATGTCCATGATTTAAGTATTTAAAGCAACAATCGACAAGTGTTGATTTAAATCTTTCGATATTATCTTTTGATGATGATACTAGTTCTGCCGTTTGAGCATAAAGATTTTCAAATTGAATTTTTACGTCCATTTTATTGACTGTTTTCTTAGAGTCACAAAACTTTGGGCCTAATGATAATGCTTCTAATTCAGTTTTTTCCAAAATAACACTAGAAAAATTGTGTACATACTGACTTGGATTGGTCGGAAATTTCATTTCTGAAATCTGTTTGTCTAGATTTTTCTTAAGTTTAATCCTTTTCTTTTCTTTTCTTGAGTTAACCACCATCTCAACATATTCCAGATATTGTTCTCTTAATTTATCAGGGAGATCTTCTACCACGTAATTTCTCTCATTGACATTTTTTATCATCTCTGCAATATATGAGTTTAGAGAATCAATTTGATTTAGGGCGTAACGTTTGAGAGTTCTTCCATTTGGTCGTACTCGAGAGCGACGTAAAGACTTCCAATACAATTTCGGATACAAGTTGGTTTCTATGCAATCCTTTATAAAATCGACATTGATCCTCGCCTCGCTGAGCCTGGCGCTATAATTCATATACTCGTTGAGAACCTTTAGCGCAAATGAATGCTCAGAACGTTTTAATATAGTGAAAATTCCCATTTGGACATTTGATAAATACAGAAGGAACGAATTGAGCGAAGAAATTTCTTTTCAATTAGTTTTTCATCATGGCTCTACACTAATATATATATGATTTACAATAATGATATAATACTCATTGAGTGGATAAGTTACGTAATAATTACATAATGACATTTAAATTAACATCTAGTATTTTGGGAGGAAGATGATTAATATTCAAAGTAATTATTAAGTTAAGAAGTTGCTAAGTTGCATAATATATGAAAAGAGAAGGAACAGAATTTGTAATGGTTGGTCAATAGAATAGCAGTTACGTAAGAATCAAGAGATGACTGTTGAGAAATTATAAAGTTTAAAAGAAAAGGAAAAAAAAACCAAAATTAAAAACTACAAACCAAATGCTATAAGTATGGAAAATAGTTCAGTTAAATGGAATGTTATACAGATGGCCAAGGCAGCGAAAGTGGTTGGACAAATTTCTTCTGAATGCAAAGGTCAGGTTTATGAGCATGGATTGCGATGGCTTCCGCAATGTGTAAAAGGCGCACTCGTAAACTATGTGGTAAATTTGATGGGATATGGTAGATAACCTTAAAAGCTTTATTCAATTCAACTTGGTGACCTGTGTCAACCAAATGAGCGAGAATAGAACTTTTAATCACTTTTACCTGTCCTTTATTTAGCCACGATGGATGATGTTCTGTAATGCGGTGACGAACTTGCCGAATTGTACGCCCTATATAACTGGCTCCACAGGAGCAGTTGAACTGGTAGATACACATAGATTTGGCGAATTCAGGCAGTCTGTCTTTGCTAGTCGTTCTTATTTTGGGGTAGTTATAGAAGATAGTATTCAGTTTGGCTGCATTAAATGTTTTTTGTACAGCTCTTCTTAGTTTCTGGGTCACGATCTCTTCAGTAGTATCATTTATGTATTGTAATTTTATGAATAGTACTTTCTTCGGGACCGTGGGTATCTTCGCTTTTGGTTTCTTCTCCATCATGTGTTTGTCAATGAATTTCAAAGGGTACCCATTCGTACTGAGTATGTTCCGAATCTTAGCTAATTCTTCTTCAATGGTGTCTTCCGAACAAATCCTTCTGGCCCTATGGGTCAAGATCTTTATCAAGTTCCTTTTGTATCTAATTGGCACTGCACTGTAGAAATGGGTGTATTGTCCTGTTGCCGACTTTCTGTGTAATCCTCTTTTTAAAGTCCCATCTGCTCGTCTGGTTAGTTGGACATCTAAAAACGATATGCTGTTATTCTGTTCACCTTCTGATGTAAAATTAATAGATGGGTGAACGTTATTAAATATATTAAGTAAATTGTCTTTATCACACTCTTTTTCTAACACTATGAAAGTATCGTCAATGTAGCGATAATAAGTTGGTAAGTGGCTAATAGTGCTTCTAAGTGGTCCATTTTCCAGTTTTGCAAGGAAAATGTCCGCTAGTAGAGGGCCCAATGGTGACCCCATGGCCACCCCATCTATTTGTCTATAATATTCATTGTCGAATCTGAATTGCACATTCATTGTGCATTTGAGAATTAACCGTTTTAATGCGGATATGGGAATTGCGGTTTCAATGTGCCTCACTGTTAGTTCTTTGCAAATAAATTCTACCGTTTCCAGTAGTGGAATGTTCGTGAATAGGGATGATACATCCAGTGATATCATGAAATTATTCTTGACCGATAGATGTTTTATATTGTCAACAAATTCGAAAGAATCCTTGACACTATGTTTGACAATTTCTTTGTGTAATGGTTTGAGAATTTGTACCAACCATTTTGCTATAGTGTGATACGTTGAGTTATTCATATATAAAACTGGTCGAAGGGGTAGGCCGCTTTTGTGTATTTTTGGTAGGCCATATAGCCTTGGTGTAATCGTTCCTGTAGGTTTTAAAATTTCGAACTCTTTTTCTGAAATAAATCCTTGTTGTTTAATTTCTTTCAGTGAATCTGTTAGTTGTTTTTCAATCTTGTCTACTATGTCGTTCTTCCCAACCAGTTTCTGAAATTTGCTTTTATCATTTAATAGGGCTTTCATTTTGTTTATATAGTTATTTTTATCCATGAGTACTATCCCATGTCCTTTGTCCGGTTTCGTGATTAATAAATTATCATTAGTTTTAAGTTTTCTTAAAGCTTCTAAATGTTTTTTCGTCAAAATTCCTTTCATATTATGTCCATGATTTAAGTATTTAAAGCAACAATCGACAAGTGTTGATTTAAATCTTTCGATATTATCTTTTGATGATGATACTAGTTCTGCCGTTTGAGCATAAAGATTTTCAAATTGAATTTTTACGTCCATTTTATTGACTGTTTTCTTAGAGTCACAAAACTTTGGGCCTAATGATAATGCTTCTAATTCAGTTTTTTCCAAAATAACACTAGAAAAAATTGTGTACATACTGACTTGGATTGGTCGGAAATTTCATTTCTGAAATCTGTTTGTCTAGATTTTTCTTAAGTTTAATCCTTTTCTTTTCTTTTCTTGAGTTAACCACCATCTCAACATATTCCAGATATTGTTCTCTTAATTTATCAGGGAGATCTTCTACCACGTAATTTCTCTCATTGACATTTTTTATCATCTCTGCAATATATGAGTTTAGAGAATCAATTTGATTTAGGGCGTAACGTTTGAGAGTTCTTCCATTTGGTCGTACTCGAGAGCGACGTAAAGACTTCCAATACAATTTCGGATACAAGTTGGTTTCTATGCAATCCTTTATAAAATCGACATTGATCCTCGCCTCGCTGAGCCTGGCGCTATAATTCATATAATCGTTGAGAACCTTTAGCGCAAATGAATGCTCAGAACGTTTTAATATAGTGAAAATTCCCATTTGGACATTTGATAAATACAGAAGGAACGAATTGAGCGAAGAAATTTCTTTTCAATTAGTTTTTCATCATGGCTCTACACTAATATATATATGATTTACAATAATGATATAATACTCATTGAGTGGATAAGTTACGTAATAATTACATAATGACATTTAAATTAGCATCTAGTATTTTGGGAGGAAGATGATTAATATTCAAAGTAATTATTAAGTTAAGAAGTTGCTAAGTTGCATAATATATGAAAAGAGGAGGAACAGAATTTGTAATGGTTGGTCAATAGAATAGAAGTTACGTAAGCATCAAGAGATGACTGTTGAGAAATTATAAAGTTTAAAAGAAAAGGAAAAAAAAAAATTAAAAACTATAAACCAAATGCTATAAGTATGGAAAATAGTTCAGTTAAATGGAATGTTATACAGATGGCCAAGGCAGCGAAAGTGGTTGGACAAATTTCTTCTGAATGCAAAGGTCAGGTTTATGAGTATGGATTGCGATGGCTTCCGCAATGTGTAAAAGGCGCACTCGTAAACTATGTGGTAAATTTGATGGGATATGGTAGATAACCTTAAAAGCTTTATTCAATTCAACTTGGTGACCTGTGTCAACCAAATGAGCGAGAATAGAACTTTTAATCACTTTTACCTGTCCTTTATTTAGCCACGATGGATGATGTCCTGTAATGCGGTGACGAACTTGCCGAATTGTACGCCCTATATAACTGGCTCCACAGGAGCAGTTGAACTGGTAGATACACATAGATTTGGCGAATTCAGGCAGTCTGTCTTTGCTAGTCGTTCTTATTTTGGGGTAGTTATAGAAGATAGTATTCAGTTTGGCTGCATTAAATGTTTTTTGTACAGCTCTTCTTAGTTTCTGGGTCACGATCTCTTCAGTAGTCTCATTTATGTATTGTAATTTTATGAATAGTACTTTCTTCGGGACCGTGGGTATCTTCGCTTTTGGTTTCTTCTCCATCATGTGTTTGTCAATGAATTTCAAAGGGTACCCATTCGTACTGAGTATGTTCCGAATCTTAGCTAATTCTTCTTCAATGGTGTCTTCCGAACAAATCCTTCTGGCCCTATGGGTCAAGATCTTTATCAAGTTCCTTTTGTATCTAATTGGCACTGCACTGTAGAAATGGGTGTATTGTACTGTTGCCGACTTTCTGTGTAATCCTCTTTTTAAAGTCCCATCTGCTCGTCTGGTTAGTTGGACATCTAAGAACGATATGCTATTATTCTGTTCATCTTCTGATGTAAAATTAATAGATGGGTGAACGTTATTAAATGTATTAAGTAAATTGTCTTTGTCACACTCTTTTTCTAACACTATGAAAGTATCGTCAATGTAGCGATAATAAGTTGGTAAGTGGCTAATAGTGCTTCTAAGTGGTCCATTTTCCAGTTTTGCAAGGAAAATGTCCGCTAGTAGAGGGCCCAACGGTGACCCCATGGCCACCCCATCTATTTGTCTATAATATTCATTGTCGAATCTGAATTGCACATTCATTGTGCATTTGAGAATTAACCGTTTTAATGCGGATATGGGAATTGCGGTTTCAATGTGCCTCACTGTTAGTTCTTTGCAAATAAATTCTACCGTTTCCAGTAGTGGAATGTTCGTGAATAGGGATGAAACATCCAGTGATATCATGAAATTATTCTTGACCGATAGATGTTTTATATTGTCAACAAATTCGAAAGAATCCTTGACACTATGTTTGACAATTTCTTTGTGTAATGGTTTGAGAATTTGTACCAACCATTTTGCTATAGTGTGATACGCTGAGTTATTCATATCTAAAACTGGTCGAAGGGGTAGGCCGCTTTTGTGTATTTTTGGTAGGCCATATAGCCTTGGTGTAATCGTTCCTGTAGGTTTTAAAATTTCGAACTCTTTTTCTGAAATAAATCCTTGTTGTTTAATTTCTTTCAGTGAATCTGTTAGTTGTTTTTCAATCTTGTCTACTATGTCGTTCTTCCCAACCAGTTTCTGAAATTTGCTTTTATCATTTAAAAGGGCTTTCATTTTGTTTATATAGTTATTTTTATCCATGAGTACTATCCCATGTCCTTTGTCCGGTTTCGTGATTAATAAATTATCATTAGTTTTAAGTTTTCTTAAAGCTTCTAAATGTTTTTTCGTCAAAATTCCTTTCATATTATGTCCATGATTTAAGTATTTAAAGCAACAATCGACAAGTGTTGATTTAAATCTTTCGATATTATCTTTTGATGATGATACTAGTTCTGCCGTTTGAGCATAAAGATTTTCAAATTGAATTTTTACGTCCATTTTATTGACTGTTTTCTTAGAGTCACAAAACTTTGGGCCTAATGATAATGCTTCTAATTCAGTTTTTTCCAAAATAACACTAGAAAAATTGTGTACATACTGACTTGGATTGGTCGGAAATTTCATTTCTGAAATCTGTTTGTCTAGATTTTTCTTAAGTTTAATCCTTTTCTTTTCTTTTCTTGAGTTAACCACCATCTCAACATATTCCAGATATTGTTCTCTTAATTTATCAGGGAGATCTTCTACCACGTAATTTCTCTCATTGACATTTTTTTATCATCTCTGCAATATATGAGTTTAGAGAATCAATTTGATTTAGGGCGTAACGTTTGAGAGTTCTTCCATTTGGTCGTACTCGAGAGCGACGTAAAGACTTCCAATACAATTTCGGATACAAGTTGGTTTCTATGCAATCCTTTATAAAATCGACATTGATCCTCGCCTCGCTGAGCCTGGCGCTATAATTCATATACTCGTTGAGAACCTTTAGCGCAAATGAATGCTCAGAACGTTTTAATATAGTGAAAATTCCCATTTGGACATTTGATAAATACAGAAGGAACGAATTGAGCGAAGAAATTTCTTTTCAATTAGTTTTTCATCATGGCTCTACACTAATATATATATGATTTACAATAATGATATAATACTCATTGAGTGGATAAGTTACGTAATAATTACATAATGACATTTAAATTAGCATCTAGTATTTTGGGAGGAAGATGATTAATATTCAAAGTAATTATTAAGTTAAGAAGTTGCTAAGTTGCATAATATATGAAAAGAGGAGGAACAGAATTTGTAATGGTTGGTCAATAGAATAGAAGTTACGTAAGCATCAAGAGATGACTGTTGAGAAATTATAAAGTTTAAAAGAAAAGGAAAAAAAAAAATTAAAAACTATAAACCAAATGCTATAAGTATGGAAAATAGTTCAGTTAAATGGAATGTTATACAGATGGCCAAGGCAGCGAAAGTGGTTGGACAAATTTCTTCTGAATGCAAAGGTCAGGTTTATGAGTATGGATTGCGATGGCTTCCGCAATGTGTAAAAGGCGCACTCGTAAACTATGTGGTAAATTTGATGGGATATGGTAGATAACCTTAAAAGCTTTATTCAATTCAACTTGGTGACCTGTGTCAACCAAATGAGCGAGAATAGAACTTTTAATCACTTTTACCTGTCCTTTATTTAGCCACGATGGATGATGTCCTGTAATGCGGTGACGAACTTGCCGAATTGTACGCCCTATATAACTGGCTCCACAGGAGCAGTTGAACTGGTAGATACACATAGATTTGGCGAATTCAGGCAGTCTGTCTTTGCTAGTCGTTCTTATTTTGGGGTAGTTATAGAAGATAGTATTCAGTTTGGCTGCATTAAATGTTTTTTGTACAGCTCTTCTTAGTTTCTGGGTCACGATCTCTTCAGTAGTCTCATTTATGTATTGTAATTTTATGAATAGTACTTTCTTCGGGACCGTGGGTATCTTCGCTTTTGGTTTCTTCTCCATCATGTGTTTGTCAATGAATTTCAAAGGGTACCCATTCGTACTGAGTATGTTCCGAATCTTAGCTAATTCTTCTTCAATGGTGTCTTCCGAACAAATCCTTCTGGCCCTATGGGTCAAGATCTTTATCAAGTTCCTTTTGTATCTAATTGGCACTGCACTGTAGAAATGGGTGTATTGTACTGTTGCCGACTTTCTGTGTAATCCTCTTTTTAAAGTCCCATCTGCTCGTCTGGTTAGTTGGACATCTAAGAACGATATGCTATTATTCTGTTCATCTTCTGATGTAAAATTAATAGATGGGTGAACGTTATTAAATGTATTAAGTAAATTGTCTTTGTCACACTCTTTTTCTAACACTATGAAAGTATCGTCAATGTAGCGATAATAAGTTGGTAAGTGGCTAATAGTGCTTCTAAGTGGTCCATTTTCCAGTTTTGCAAGGAAAATGTCCGCTAGTAGAGGGCCCAACGGTGACCCCATGGCCACCCCATCTATTTGTCTATAATATTCATTGTCGAATCTGAATTGCACATTCATTGTGCATTTGAGAATTAACCGTTTTAATGCGGATATGGGAATTGCGGTTTCAATGTGCCTCACTGTTAGTTCTTTGCAAATAAATTCTACCGTTTCCAGTAGTGGAATGTTCGTGAATAGGGATGAAACATCCAGTGATATCATGAAATTATTCTTGACCGATAGATGTTTTATATTGTCAACAAATTCGAAAGAATCCTTGACACTATGTTTGACAATTTCTTTGTGTAATGGTTTGAGAATTTGTACCAACCATTTTGCTATAGTGTGATACGCTGAGTTATTCATATCTAAAACTGGTCGAAGGGGTAGGCCGCTTTTGTGTATTTTTGGTAGGCCATATAGCCTTGGTGTAATCGTTCCTGTAGGTTTTAAAATTTCGAACTCTTTTTCTGAAATAAATCCTTGTTGTTTAATTTCTTTCAGTGAATCTGTTAGTTGTTTTTCAATCTTGTCTACTATGTCGTTCTTCCCAACCAGTTTCTGAAATTTGCTTTTATCATTTAAAAGGGCTTTCATTTTGTTTATATAGTTATTTTTATCCATGAGTACTATCCCATGTCCTTTGTCCGGTTTCGTGATTAATAAATTATCATTAGTTTTAAGTTTTCTTAAAGCTTCTAAATGTTTTTTCGTCAAAATTCCTTTCATATTATGTCCATGATTTAAGTATTTAAAGCAACAATCGACAAGTGTTGATTTAAATCTTTCGATATTATCTTTTGATGATGATACTAGTTCTGCCGTTTGAGCATAAAGATTTTCAAATTGAATTTTTACGTCCATTTTATTGACTGTTTTCTTAGAGTCACAAAACTTTGGGCCTAATGATAATGCTTCTAATTCAGTTTTTTCCAAAATAACACTAGAAAAATTGTGTACATACTGACTTGGATTGGTCGGAAATTTCATTTCTGAAATCTGTTTGTCTAGATTTTTCTTAAGTTTAATCCTTTTCTTTTCTTTTCTTGAGTTAACCACCATCTCAACATATTCCAGATATTGTTCTCTTAATTTATCAGGGAGATCTTCTACCACGTAATTTCTCTCATTGACATTTTTTATCATCTCTGCAATATATGAGTTTAGAGAATCAATTTGATTTAGGGCGTAACGTTTGAGAGTTCTTCCATTTGGTCGTACTCGAGAGCGACGTAAAGACTTCCAATACAATTTCGGATACAAGTTGGTTTCTATGCAATCCTTTATAAAATCGACATTGATCCTCGCCTCGCTGAGCCTGGCGCTATAATTCATATACTCGTTGAGAACCTTTAGCGCAAATGAATGCTCAGAACGTTTTAATATAGTGAAAATTCCCATTTGGACATTTGATAAATACAGAAGGAACGAATTGAGCGAAGAAATTTCTTTTCAATTAGTTTTTCATCATGGCTCTACACTAATATATATATGATTTACAATAATGATATAATACTCATTGAGTGGATAAGTTACGTAATAATTACATAATGACATTTAAATTAGCATCTAGTATTTTGGGAGGAAGATGATTAATATTCAAAGTAATTATTAAGTTAAGAAGTTGCTAAGTTGCATAATATATGAAAAGAGGAGGAACAGAATTTGTAATGGTTGGTCAATAGAATAGAAGTTACGTAAGCATCAAGAGATGACTGTTGAGAAATTATAAAGTTTAAAAGAAAAGGAAAAAAAAAAATTAAAAACTATAAACCAAATGCTATAAGTATGGAAAATAGTTCAGTTAAATGGAATGTTATACAGATGGCCAAGGCAGCGAAAGTGGTTGGACAAATTTCTTCTGAATGCAAAGGTCAGGTTTATGAGTATGGATTGCGATGGCTTCCGCAATGTGTAAAAGGCGCACTCGTAAACTATGTGGTAAATTTGATGGAATATGGTAGATAACCTTAAAAGCTTTATTCAATTCAACTTGGTGACCTGTGTCAACCAAATGAGCGAGAATAGAACTTTTAATCACTTTTACCTGTCCTTTATTTAGCCACGATGGATGATGTCCTGTAATGCGGTGACGAACTTGCCGAATTGTACGCCCTATATAACTGGCTCCACAGGAGCAGTTGAACTGGTAGATACACATAGATTTGGCGAATTCAGGCAGTCTGTCTTTGCTAGTCGTTCTTATTTTGGGGTAGTTATAGAAGATAGTATTCAGTTTGGCTGCATTAAATGTTTTTTGTACAGCTCTTCTTAGTTTCTGGGTCACGATCTCTTCAGTAGTCGCATTTATGTATTGTAATTTTATGAATAGTACTTTCTTCGGGACCGTGGGTATCTTCGCTTTTGGTTTCTTCTCCATCATGTGTTTGTCAATGAATTTCAAAGGGTACCCATTCGTACTGAGTATGTTCCGAATCTTAGCTAATTCTTCTTCAATGGTGTCTTCCGAACAAATCCTTCTGGCCCTATGGGTCAAGATCTTTATCAAGTTCCTTTTGTATCTAATTGGCACTGCACTGTAGAAATGGGTGTATTGTACTGTTGCCGACTTTCTGTGTAATCCTCTTTTTAAAGTCCCATCTGCTCGTCTGGTTAGTTGGACATCTAAGAACGATATGCTATTATTCTGTTCATCTTCTGATGTAAAATTAATAGATGGGTGAACGTTATTAAATGTATTAAGTAAATTGTCTTTGTCACACTCTTTTTCTTTTAAACTTTATAATTTCTCAACAGTCATCTCTTGATGCTTACGTAACTTCTATTCTATTGACCAACCATTACAAATTCTGTTCCTCCTCTTTTCATATATTATGCAACTTAGCAACTTCTTAACTTAATAATTACTTTGAATATTAATCATCTTCCTCCCAAAATACTAGATGCTAATTTAAATGTCATTATGTAATTATTACGTAACTTATCCACTCAATGAGTATTATATCATTATTGTAAATCATATATATATTAGTGTAGAGCCATGATGAAAAACTAATTGAAAAGAAATTTCTTCGCTCAATTCGTTCCTTCTGTATTTATCAATTGTCTTTTGTTTATCCGTTCTTTGGACGAACAGTAACCCTAGAAATGCTACTGACTGAGTTGCTATTTAATCTTGTTTAGTACTATATGGTCATGGAAGTGGTATTCATTTAAATTACGTTTTAATTCTGTTTTATCACGACTTTCATTCAAGTTTTTTTATCCGATTAAATTCCATTTTTTATATTGTTGATAATGTTTCATGTAGAAGTTCTGAAATAATTCATTGAACTGTATTTTTGTCATTGTATATAATTAGTAGTCGTGATCGTGTTTGCTGATAGACTTCTATCTGTTGTAGTTATTCTCTTTTATATTTCAGATATTAATGAAATGGGCGAAAGTTTTTGATTTTCATTGAATTTTGATTTCGTTCTATTCATTATGTTTTCTCTTCGTACATAAAATTATTCAGAAATTTTATAGTTACTCTTTTCGTATTTACATGACATGAACATTTTTTAAAATTTTATTTCATCACATTTTTATACAAGTGATCTCTGTATATTTTATTTTACTCTTCGTAGACAAGTAAAGGCAAACCAATACGGTTGTACGACTTTGTGAAATCAAAAGGCTGTTGTAATTGTGGACGTAAAGGACATACTGTTGATGTATGTGTTACCGTGTTACTGGTATTTTCTTTTGATAATTACGCGCCTTCACATGTTTAGCCCCATTTTTCATTCCTTCCGTATATTCACAATTATGATTGAATTTTGTAATCATGTGTTTATATACTCCGCAATAAACTACGTGTACTGTGTGATGAGGGGTAATTTTAATATTTTATTGTCAAGTTGTCAGTATAGAAGGGATGTGAAAATATAGTTTAGTGATCAAATGTAAAGTATATTGGTTAATCCGCTAATGTCCTGTAACTAAAGTATATTCGTGAATGTTAAACTGTTTAGGACTCACTAATCACTGATTTTATAAATCAGTGTAGTATGTTAGTCCGATAACGTTATTGCTTTAGTTGAAAATAGATGGTGAATTATGATTATATTATATATTTTATGAAATAACTTAATCCATCAGTTTATTTAATATAAGTTAGTAAATTTGGCAACTCACTAGAATACACCTGAACAAACTAAAGTATCAGTTGTATTTAAGCTTGAATAACTGATAAAATTATTTATGGGATACTTGGCTATGACTGTATGATCTGTTTATTTTTAAATAGACTTTCGGAGACTGAAGTAACCAAACACAAAAAAATTTATATAATGATGACATATGCATATATGTATAATTGCTGAGGCTTTACTTTATGCTTATTTTAATCGGCATAACAGTGATATTGCGTCTAAGCTATTGATTAAGATGTTGGCTAAGAGTAGCTAATGTATATTACACATTTAGACATATATACTCACATGAATTATGTGATAAGATTAAGTATGTAGAATATGAAAGCTGCGTTGCGAAAATGATATCTACTTACTTCCATTCGGTTAAGTATCTGCATATATCAACACATGTCTTGCTTATCTTTAAAATTCAGTATTACTCAAATCTCCCAACTCTAGTACAAATGTAGTAGTGTTAATTGTGAACTAATGAAAATCTACTTGTTTCTTGATATTGTATTAACCAAAGTAAACCGATGACTTACTGATCAAGGTATCAAATTCTTAGTTTTAGTACTTCAAGTTCGAACCACGTTTCACCTTCGGTATTGTTAGCTAGGTAGTGTCATTAGCCCTCACAAATAAAAAGTATGAAATTAAGCCGGATGCATAAATTGATGTTTGTTTACTTAATTACAAACAATACCGAAAATGATCGTAAAATAGGTTCTTGGTTTTAGTGTCTGATTATTGGTCATTTTTCAATTGACATTTGTATGGTATAAAGATCTGAATGTATTATATATGATATGTACATTTTTAGTATCATAATACAGTACATTCTTAGTGGTAATAATGCTTTCTTGTTTTACGCTTATTGTGATTTCCTTTCTTTTTTTATTGAAGAAACCGTTACATAGAATCTGTCTTATTAGATTAAAAACATGCTAACTTAAAATCTGTTGGTATATTTTGTTTATTAAATTAACTAGTTCTATACTTTTTAATAATTTATACAGAAGAGTGATGTTAAGTTGAGATAATTGAATGTTAGTAAGTGAATAGAATTATTATGATAATGTTCAACCATTCACACTATTCATATGTTGCTGAAAAGGAATCATTTCCCCATTGCAATTTATGTTAGTACTATGATCTTGGTCATATGTCATTAAAACGAATAATAATACTTTTTTAAAATAGTGCTATTGTGTTGAAATTTTCTCTTCTTGTTTTATGACAATAACTAAATATGCATTGTACTTTGTAATTTTATTCCTCTTAAGGATTGTCATTACCAACCTTTAAAATCTCATTTTATTGGTCCTTTACCAAGGAGAAGAGTGTTGGTTTATGATAAAAAAGATATATATAAGTCTATTCGCTTAAAGTTAACCAAATTACGTGAAAAGAAAACAAAATATAAAAAGATTTTAGAGAAGGTAGATAATTGTAAAGTAATCGATAATGAAACTGAAAACCAATTGTGTAAGCATCCCAAATCATCTAAACAAAGAAAACAAAAATGTAAAAAACTAGACAACCGAACTTATTGTTCGTCATACAATAAATCTTGTAAATCAATCAATGAAAGGAAGTTACAAAAAGTCATGGAACAAGAATTACCATATAAAGCTTCTTCATCTCCATATATGAGTAAGTTTTATGTTTATATCAAATAGATATATAGTTGTGTTTATATTAATGCCTGTTAATTTAAATTATTTTCCATAAATCTACAAGTTTTAAATATTTTCTTGTTCAATTAGTGGCGAAGGGGGGGGTAGGTAGAGAAAATGCATTTGAGTCGAATGTTTTGGAAATTGTAGATAAGGATGATTGGTTGCGTGTGACTTTTATATTTCTTTCGACTTATTAATGAAATGTGTTACTCCCTGAAATTTATATATCTTTCGCCTTTTTGTAAGAAATCTAAATAAAAATTACTTTAATTAGAAGTAGTTTAATGGAAGAACTCAAAGTGTTGTTTTAGTCATAATATAATAATTCAAATAATATTATTAATAATACAGTATTTGTCAGACAGTGATAATTTTATTAACTCTAATCATATCATTGTCGAATTTTCATCAGGTAATTTGAAACAAAAGGCCATAAAACAGCGAATGGATTTTGCAAAATGGGACGTTCTACCGTCACTTGAAATTGAAAAAACAAAGAAGAAAAAGAAAAAAGTTAATAATGAAAGTCGAAAGTTAAAGTCCCAGAGCGTTTTATTATCTCATCACGAATTTTCTTCATCATCTTCATATAATTTCAATGAAATTTCAGACAACTTTTCTATCACAAAAAGAACTAGGAAAAGACGAAAGTTCAGGTAAATCGTTATTGTATCATCTATCTTTATCTCAGTATTTAGTGGATTTTAGCCATTCGATTTTTCTAGTTTATGATATGATGATCGAAATAACTGACAAAAACTGGAATTGCCTAATTGGATTAATTGATACTTTACAAACTAATTGGATATACTTATTTTGGAATATGAGATTTTCAACCAAGGTAGTATGACTTTTTAGATGAGAAATGATTAATGATAAATGAAAATGTAACCCACAGGGAAACCAGTCACTTTTTACTTCTGCCAATCACATTAGTTTATTATAAATTCAAGTTATCAGCATTCGGTACGTTTCATACTACCACTGGACGATATCAAAATCCTTACTGTTGTGCTAATTTTTTTTCTATTGCACAGAAAGTACTATTCAGTTTAACAATAAATATATTTTTGTTATATTCGAATGAGTACTGTCTAAACTTGTGTTAATTTAATTCGGTTATTTATGTACTCTGAAGAAGTGGCTTACAATAAGTCACGGAGTGTCAAAAGTACACTTTTTTACTCATTGGAATTTAACGAAAGATATACTAATTATTAACTTTCTACCCAATGCTCAATTTATTTCAAACTATCAAGTCCAGCCTTGGCATTGATACCTACTATTCAGTTTCTTATAGTTCTAAAAACAAAGTCAATTAAAATCTTCCATGTATTGATATATCTATGGCTTCAACTGTTACTATCGTTTCTTTGTTGGATACGTTAATAGTGTATGGTTGAAAGTGACAAGTAGTTGTACTTGTGTGTTTAAACACACATTTCTCGATTTCACGGTTATTCTAGCTGCGACTGACCTTTTTAAATTACTCTGAAACCCCGTTGTGTCCATACTTCGTCACTTTCACTCACATTCAATAACCCAGTTAATTGAAATCACTACGATTTTTACTATCCCACTGTGTATCTTCGTAAGAAGCCTGGAAAACTACTCAAATTCACTTTTAACGGATATTCTGATTTTTTATACTGTACTAATTGAGTGATAGTATTGATAAGCTAAATTTTTAGAGCTTTTCTTTATGAAGATGCCATTCCTAAAACATATATGGAGTGTTTCAGTTTAGTCATTTCTTAGCCATTTCTTGTGTGGCGCATATATATTTGGTGCCCCCCTGTACCAATATTTATGTGTTCAAATAAATATAAATACATTTCTTCAACGTTGTTGAATCATCCCTATAAATCTTTTATGGACAATCAATTAGAATTGATGGATATTTTACGGTGGTTAACAGTTTTTTAGTTGTTTTTTTTTCTTTTAGATCTTCGGAAGACGTTCATAAAGCAAGTACTTCATATTCACCATTTCAAAATGCACACCAAACTCCATTAAGGAAATCGAAAAAGAAATATTTCTCTCAATCTTTAACTTCATAATGTGAATTAAGTTGTATAAATTGTTTACCTTATATATAAATATAATAAATTTGTTTGTTTCTTTATTAGTTTTAGTCTCTAGCAAACAAGCTATGGGATAATTATAGGATATTTTGAAAGTGATCGTTGAATTCACGTCCATTTATAGGTATGATCAAATTTGATACAAAAGGAGAGGAGGCATTAAAAAAGTGTAATGCATAAACTATTTTAATGGAATTTTAAAAATGAGATTATATGTTGCATGCGAAAGTGTTATCACTAGTGACATTATTTTATAGTACACAATTATCGATGGGATGGACACCGTAATAGTAATAAATCTTTTAAGCATACACTTGTTATTAATATAAGTAGTGTGTGAAAACTATAGATAGGCTATGAGGGTGTTATAACTGAAACGTGTTTTAGAATGATGGATGCCACATTGTTGCCATGGTAGGTGTATCAAACAGTTTATTCATAAGAGCTCAGCTTAGTGTTTTACAACAATTTCGCATTCCGTATTAACTTCTACTCATTGTTAGTCCTTAAAGTTGTTGTGCGTTTAATTCCTTGGAGAGAAATGAGTTTATTACAGTTGCGCCAATTTAGGTGATGTAGTCCAACAAGCCCATTGCATTACACATGTATTTTCAATTTTTCCTAGCTATAATACGCAGTGTTTAGGATCCAGTTTTCTTTTACTGGAAGGATTGAAACGTCAACTTTACGGGATGATAAAATAAATAATTTACCGTTAGTGGATTTCAGTTCAATTACAGAATTTGTGTTAGTTTACAATTAAAAGAAACACTATTTTCAACTAGAGTATTAAACAGATAGTTTCTACATTGTCGGTAATTTTTCTGGCATTAATTATTTAACATTATTCATTCGTATATGGGTTGAATACTTCTCAATTGTCAATGATTCCGAATTTTTTCAATAATCTGTTTGGGTTCTATGATGGGACTTATTCATCTGCATTGTTTTATTATCCATAATTATCTTGTGAGTAGAATGCTCATATGTGCAAATAACGATTAAAACATGTATCACATTTTAATGAGTATTGTTCTTAGCTAATGTGTTAAAATATCACGATTCGAAACTTTTTTTTCATTGATCTTTGAGCAACTATTAAGGTATCTTAAGTTTTGCAAAATGTTGTTACTGTACTGTTTGGTGATGAAATTTAGTCATAAAATCTGAAAGTTTGGTTTATCCCATCTGTTTTATTTCAGTTGCATTTACTTAAGTTATTTGGTATTTCTAAATAAGGATTTAATAATAATTTATATTTTGAAAAAATAATAATTACAGAATTCACGCCAGTTTACAGGCATGATCAATTTGGTATAAATAATATCATTATATGTACAGAACAAACATGTGATAGGAGTTTTAAGGTTACTAGTTCAGTAATTGTTTAGGTATTACAACGATCCAATGCATCAGCCTGGAACATTTAATATTTCTTAACTGGACAGCCTGTTAATTTATGAACGGTGTAATTAAGGTCATTTCGTGTGCCAGATCGAATTAATGATAATTATCTACAACCAGAGAAATTAAAACGAAAACAGAGAGCACGGAACAACAAAGCAGTAATTACCAAAATATGTCAATCAGATCTACCAAAATGCGTGTCATGTGACACAGTGATATACTGTTGATGCTATTCAAATTAGTTAAGCTTGTTGGGGACGGTGTTAACATTAAGTGACAGCAAGTAGGTGGTTTTATCCAGAGAATGCACTAATAAAGATGGCTAAACATTTAAAGTTCCTATAATAACACTTGTGGAATGAGATACACTTACAGGTGCTGGAACATTCAATGCATTTTCAGAGGAGCAGTATGCATCGATGCAACGAACAAATAATGGGAGTGATTTTATCGTGCGGATATGTTGTGGTAGGTTATTCCAGAGTCTAGAAAATTTACAGGCAAAGTAATTCATATAAAGAGATGATTTAGAATTAGTTTGTTTCACCAGTGCCAAGGAATTAAGGGTTTCATAATGAGAAGTTTCTGCATATTAATCTATCTCCACATTTTAACTCAGTTTATTCTAGACATTTCTGATTAAAAATATACACATTTTAATGATTAATACTATGGTTTTAGGTTGTAAGCAGCTGAGGAGAATCCACGCAATAAATGAATTGATGTTATTCTGCTACGATATTTGTCCCTTCTTTATTCAAGTTTATCAGTGAGAAAGGTTGTATAAAAAATGAATATTACAACTGACTGAAAAGCCTGAAGTATTCATTAAGTGATAAGGTTCCTCTTGATAATCAAATCGAATGAATATAGGCGTATGATCAGTAGAGAAAATAACTCACTTGTATAATGAATTAACTAAATGTTTATTTGCTTTCATAATGATCAACACATTGTGCAAAATAGTATATACTTATAAGCTGAGATAATGGTGGCTAACAGTGGAATTCAGAACACGCGTTCCGTCCTATTTGGGACTCGTCAGCTGGATTAATGTTCACATGTGTCAATAAGAGACTGATCAATTGCAGTCCTAAACGTCAATGGGAAGGTCCAAGCAACCAATACAAAGATGAATTAATATATACTTCCTTTTCGTATTTTATTTTAGTTGTTTTCTCCCTACTTATTTTCTAAATCAAGAGACTATATCTCAATGTCATAAATGGTCTTCTATTTTTTCGACTACTTCTTTTCTCTAAACTGCCAAATTTTGCCTTCTCATGATACTGACCACCTATATGACTTCTAAATTATCAAAATTATTCTACTTTGTTTCGTAAATTTCCTTTTTCAAAAATACAACAACAAAATAAGAATGTTCTTCTGCTCTTACTCGACTCTTTATTCGGTCGAATATATATTAAGGGTTGGGGGCGTAGGGATAAATTTATACATGTTCATATTCATATGGTAACTAGTATTTTCATGCGACAGAAAAAGCATTAGCTTGTAAATTTGGGTTTTTTCTAATTGATTCGAAAACTTAGTGCAATTTGCTGTTAGAAGTGAATGTACTGAAATCGCTCAAATTTATCAATGATATAAATCATTCAAGCAGAATAATACATAATTTCGTTAAATCCTGGTTTTGTATGTAATTTCAGTCCCTCATGTGCTCGTGTTATTCGTTTAGTAAAAAAATGTTTATATATATATATATATATATATATATATATATATATATATATATATATATATATATATATATAACATTTTTTTACTAAATGAATAAAAAGTATCAAAAAATTACGAACAAGGTTAATTAATCGACAGTTTTCTTTAAACTTGTTGATACTTTTTAATTGCTCAACCGTTGCTGCTACCTTAACGTAGTGGTCGGGCTTGCCCATCATAATGAACCAGTCGAGTTATGCTGTCTGGAACAATCGTTCTACCATCCTGGAAACGGTTGACCCTAAAAATGCTTACACGAAAATTGCTCACAAAAAGGTTGTGTGTGACTGGCCTCAAGCAGTTGTCCCTTGGGTACCGCAGTCACCCTCTCTGGTCACTAATACCACCTCTTACCCAGTTTCCTTTTCAGATACCACTAGAAGAACCCTTCCACGGTATGAGCAACCGGGAAGTGATAACTGCCTTCACATCCATAGCAGCACTCAAGCTCACTATTCATAATCAATCTCCCTCTTCCATTCCTATTATTTCCCCTAACTCGACTTTCAATTCTTAATTTCCTCTTTTGACTTTCTCTTCAAGTAACTTCTTACAGATGTAATTCTAGACTGTCGGGAACAGAATCTTAGCTTATTCAAAGTCAGAACAAGTAAGCTATTTGGCTTGATAAAGTTTATTTGTTATACAAAATAACAATTAGTACACTGTATTAAACAGGGAAAAGAGGCATAAATAGCATACGAAACAGTAACTAGAGGATCGGAAATATGAGTCAAGGAACTTAATATCGTTCATGATTCACATAAAATTATGATTGGTGAGTAAGCAAAGCATAGTTATGCAAGGTCAAAGAAAGTTGATGTGGTGGTGCACCTTTCATGTTATAATTGGCAGGTTAGTTTATCGATCACACTACACCTCCCGTTTAACTGGCGAGCGTAGTCATAGCACTGAGTACGAGGGCGGAACAAACACTATTAGGATGAATCCCCGTTAACAGTCGCCCATGTGCTGTTTAGCAAAACGGCTTCGTAAGAACTCGGAAGGATAAGAACACACGTCGTTGTCTTTTCGTCGTTTTTGCCTACAATCCCACTAACTGCAGCTCGGATGAAGTAAAAGATAACTCTTATAGAAAGCTTTCTAGACTTCTTCAAAAAGCCAAACTCTCAGACATAGTACTCGTAACAGTTGACTTTAACGTCCAAGTAGGTAGCTTAAAGACATTTAGGTGGGTATTTTGGTATTCCGGCTCAACGAAAAGATAATGGTGATCGTCTGCTGCAACTATGCTCAGACAATCGTTTATTTTAGCAAACACTGATTTTAAGCATAAGGAGAGACATCGCCTAACATGGCGACCTCTACACCAAACCAGCGATGGACTCAAATAGACAATATTCCCTTCAGTCGTCGTTGGAGAGAGTCGATAGAAGATTGTCGCTCATTCTGGAATACCTGCTTCGAATCCGACTATTTTCCAATACGGGCACGCATCTGCTTGTGCCTCAGTTGGTGCAGGAAAACTACACTGAGAAGACCCTTTAGAGTCGAACTCAGTGATGAGGAAGCCAAAAGTAGATCTCAGGAACAACTGATATCACATTTAGGTAGTTTTGAAAGTGAGGCTGACCCAGTTGTTGCTTGGAAAGATATACAAACAGTAGTGACATATATTAGTGATTTAAACTAAAGGGTCACGAAAAACCAATGGATTTCTACTAAGTCTCTTGCACTGATGTGTAGTCGTAAACTCATCCCATCAGGCTCTGAACACGATGAAGAGCGAAAACAAATCAGATCTAGGTTAACTAAAAGTCAAAGGAACGACTGTGTGCAGTAGTGGTCAACGGAAGCAAAAGAGATAAAAAAGACAATGCCTGTATACAACACCAGACAGCTATTTAAACTAATAAAAGAAACTGGAATTAAGAAGTCAAGTGTAAGTGAGACTATCTAGGAAAAAGACGACGCTGTTATCTGCTCCCAGTCCAGACGTTTAGAACGATAGGCGGGACATTTTAAAGAGCAGCT